GAAGAAGTAATAACTCTTCCAAATGATCCACTCGTCCAAGCATTGGAAAAGAAGACAAGAACAATAGCAGACTTGAGACGACTTTTTGAATGGTATCCTGATCTTATTTGGTCAATATGTCTTCTGGACATACAACCGTATGTCTCTTATCTTTTCAACGGTTCTTGAATCGCATCAATCCGATATCGGGAACTCAAGATATGACCATTTTACTGAAGATGGTGCATGCAGGAAATCCTACACGGGATTAATACGTTATTTTGTAAATATTACGAATTTTCAATATTTATATTGATTATTTGTAATATAATTTAATATAGGATGATTAATTATCTTTCAGGATCAGATTTATTATTTTATTAGGAATTAAGGTTGGGTTAAAACAATATTTTTAGTTATTATTATTTTATTAGGAATTAGAGTTAAAACATGTTTAGTTTATTATTATTTTATTCTTTAGTTATTTTGGACCTTTAGAATTCAGCCCCTATATAAAGGAGGCTTCATTCAACTTTTTAATTCAAGATTTCTTTGATTAATAATACAACGAGAGTTCGTTTTTGCAAGTGCTGATTGCCTTTTGCCTTCGAAGCTTCTTCTCCTTGAGTTCTTTCAAGTTCTTGTGAGGGAGATTAATCTTCACACTCTAATTTGCCTTTTCATCGCCACTAGGAGGGTTGGTTAGAGCCATATTATCGTGTTTTCCTTTTCATTGCGACTAGGAGGGCTCGATAGGACATTATCCATCGATTTTCCACATATCCATCCACGTCATCAATCATCTTTATCGTTCACCTTCATAAGGGAGATCTTTTGATTTCTTGGTTATCTTATTTTATTTGCAATTCATTTATCTTTTCTTTATCTTGTTTTAATCTTATTTTTATCTTGTTTCCAGCACCAAAAAGAAACCCTATCTATTGCCGCCACCTTCCCGATTCATCCCTTATTGTTCTTCATCGAGTCTAGATCTTTTCTAGGTTTGATTCTTCAACAAGAGCAACGTTCATCAATCCGCCACCGCTTCCCTATCAGTGAGGTGATGGCTCTCGAAGTGGAGGCTGCTCATCATCCGTGCCATCAAAAAAAAGCTTACTAGCTTGCCACCAATCACTGGCAAGCTCAGCTTCCGTGGGTGTCAGCCTTTGTAATGGAGTGTTGGACTCCTAACAATATAAAACCTCAAACAAAGTTAAACGTGTACTAGTAATAACTTGTTTATAAACATATGGTAGTATTTGTGTTAACTTACATTATTTATTGTCGTATACGGTAGTAAATCTTCCCATTGCTGCAAGGTCCGTTTCCTCTTCCAGGAAATAGCCCTAGGAATATCATTAGAAGTTTTTAATGCATATGTCTGCATGGCGGGAAATGCATCAAATATCCAAATCTACAAACAATATAATAACAAACATTAGTAATTGTTAAATAATAATTATATTTTGGAAACATTATAAAAAAATTCTTACCTTAAAAGCCCAAATAAAGCCTGACAAAGTGTATTTAGAACCATCGCCACGCAAACTTTTTCGATCATCAAAGGCAGACGACAACTTATTCCATGTAGCTTTCCATAGATACGAACCCCACAGAAATATGTTTCATGCATTTAGGTCCTCTACCAATTTAATTAGATCATTAGGAATAGGTTGTCTAGCCTCTCTGCCTAAAAAGTCAGCATGCAAAAGTATTAGAAGGCATACTCGGACAACATCGACGTCATCCATCCGAGTAAAACCATCTTTCTTATTCAATAATCTCGTCAAGTCTTCCACGTGTAAATTCGACTTCTCCATTGACAGCTCAGGAAAAACCCGGGATAACCATGATAGGCGGGTAATATGTCTAGTGTACCGACCTACATCATCGTGTCCGAAGCGTAGACCGGTGATTAAGCAAAGCTCCTCCCACCCAAAACACGTATACGCCGGTGGAAAATCAAACCATATCTCTTCATCACGACGTTGTATAGTCTCTGGTAGATCGCTAGTCATGGTTTGAAGAAACAGATGGGTCAACATAGCATCTCCACCCGGATGTTGTACTTTCAGCCATGGCCTGAAGCAAGTATCCTCAAATATTTTTCTTTGTGCAGGTGAAAGCTTCGACGCAATTGTTTTGGCCAGGCTTAATTTATTTCTTAAGGTCAATTGAGCCGAATAAAAGTTCTACAAAAACAATAAACATACCAAGTTAGATATACCAAAAACTACATTGTGAAGATATACCAAGAACAATAAACATAAAGAGTAGTAGTTTATTCTTCAAACTTAAATTTGCAACACTGTGAATTTAGTATTTGTCTTTGTTTTTTTGTTGAAGTAATGCAATTCATTCAAGTTTCAATTTGCAGGAGAGGAATAGTTTCTGAAACTTAAAATCGCAACACGAAAATGAAAATCGCAACACGAAAATGACTATCGCAACGCGAATTTGACTATCGCAACGCGAAATGAAAATCGCAACGCGAAACTAAAATCGCATTGCGATTCTGTCATTGCGATTTTCATTTCGCGTTGCGATTCTCGGTTTCAAATACTAAAATTGAAACTTGAATGGATTGCATTACTTCAACCAAAAGACAAAACAAAGACAAATATTAAATTCACAGGGTTTAAAGACTAAACAGTTTAGCAGTATTGGCAGCAATCGAATGAATTTAATAAGCAATCTAAATGAAATGGTTAATCAATTATTGAAATTACCAGTAAACTTATCATCAATTTCAATATGAAAAACCTAATAATAATGCAAAAATTTCAAAATAAAAATAATTAAAAAACTAACCCTCTGTGGTTGATTTGATTGATTTTCCATTTCTGATTGTGAATGATTGTGAGGGTGGCTCTGAGAGATGGAGATAGACGGATTTCGCCGGAGATGGGGATGGATGTCGCCTTAGAGAGTGAGAGATGGAGATGGGACTGAGTTGTGATTTAGGGTTTTAGGTTATGAGTTACGATTACGGGATATACTGTGGACGGTTCAGTGTTCCGATATATTAATATTCGTGTTTGGAATTTGAAAAAAAATATGCGTTGCGATAATAATGGCGCTTTGAAAATCGCATTGCGATAGTCAGCATCGTGTTGCGATAGTCAGAATCTTGTTGCGATAGTCATACTCGCATTGCGATTTACATATTCGCATTGCGATAGTCGGAAAATCGCAACGCGAATTTGTAAAATCACAATGCGATAGTCAGAATCGCGTTGCGAATCTGGAAACTGATTTGCGATACCGGAGATCGCGTTGCGAATTATCGATCTCATTGCGATTTAGTTGATCATTTTGGCAAATCCAAAAAAAGTTGGTTAAAATCGTATATTATAAGGCATTTTTGGTCACTGAGGTTATTTTCTCTTTTATATATTTTACTAAACTCATCACACGGGTATGAAGAGTCCGAATAAAAAATATTTTTTTTGAATTTTAAAAACATTATATATATATATACAAAAAAACGGATGTAGCGGGTTGTTTAATTTTGCTCCAATCATAAGCGTTGTATCATCTTCTGTTTTTTTATGCCTATTACATATGCTCTTATAGAGTTTCCTCTCGTTGCAAGATAAATTTTTATATTTAAAGTTTTGATATTTTATAATATTTGTTTAAATATTTTGAAAATGACAATGAATAATGTAGTTGTTATATTTTTTGTTTAAATGACAACACTGAATAATAATATGGTTGAGATTTATGTTGAAACCATGACTATACCAATATTTCGACCTCATCAGTACCAACACCACGAACATAAGAAGTATGACTCTCTAAATCACATGCAAATACTGCTGATGATAGTCTTGTTGGACTGTTCGGTGAAAGCCCTGTTGAATTTAGCGAGAATGATAAAGATATTGTTCTATTGTTGGAAGATGACAACATACCATTAGTTGATGATTCCGATGTTTTTGAGGCTACTTCAATTCTTATAAATGTAAACTACTATTAAATAAGTTTACTTAACTAATAATTACTTAATTCATAAAAACAACTTCCTACATAAATTAAAATCATACAAATTAATATTTGTATATATGTCATTCTCTATTTTTTTAGATCTTCAATTCGTTCACTACGTTGGATTAAGATACATTCGTATTTTTCTTTCATCGTCTTTTTCTTTTCAATTTCTATACTAAATTTTTTAATTTTTTCTTCTCTCTCATCGAGTCATTTACTACGCTGCTTCGGTAAATCTTCATACTTTTTCTTTTTCTTCTCTTCCATTTTCATTTTCTTCTTATGCTCTTCAACTATGTACTTTATTGGCTCTTTTTTTACTCTTCATCTGAAAAAGAGCTTGAACCTGAATAGTCGATCTTCGAGTCGGTGTTGTCAAACTCATAAACACCGTTCGCCAAATCATACCCAAAATTTTTTTCACAACCACATTATTTGATAATCTCAATTTTTTCTCACTTCTCATACATCAAAACCTTCACCCTAAACTCCTATTTATACTAAAATCATCTCCCAAAATAGTCGTTGGAACTTGTCACACCCAAGTGACGAGTTCCCTTAAATTTAAAAAAAATTTGAAATTTTCGACCGTTTTAATTTCAAATTTTTACCCTTTAGAACTCGTTATACCAACGTGACGAGTTCCATAACCATTAATATATATATATATATATATATATTTTAAATTTTCAAAAAAAAATATTTTTTATTCAGACTTATCATGCCCGCGTGACGAGTCCCATGAAATATATTAAATATATTCGACCCTGGGACCCATGTACCATAACCCATTAAAAAATTATATCAAACGAAACTCGTCACGCCGACGTGAAGAATTCTAGCTACACTGTAGCTTTTGACGTATATCCCAAAATAAAAAACAAGTTGCCTTATTAAACTAATTAATCAGCCCGCCTGCATTATCTCACTAATTTTACCAAAAGCAAACGTTTCGAAAAGTAGAAAAAATAATTTAATTATATAATAAAGGGACTAAGTCCATAAAAAAACGCATAGTACAAGGACCTTCTATACAATATGGGCCCTGCACTCCCGTAATGGTCCCTTCGTTTTACCCCTCAACTACCAAGTTCCGAAAGCAGTTGATTTATATTCTCAGCACCTTGGTTGCTTGAATTAATTTCGAAATTCAGCAAAAAAGGCTTTGATTGTAGGCACTTCAAACTTATCTTCTTATCCTAACTAACACACTTGTTCTTGATAAATTAATCAAATGTTATCCCAGGAAAAATTAGTTGAAGATCACATGTTTCATGCTCCATGTTCCATATGCATTTCATAGTCCACGCCGCCTCGGAAAGATTGTTCGGAGTATTCTTGCTCAATAAGCACATGATTCCTTCATGGCATGAAAAATCTACAGCTGATTAATCGAGTAACCTGTTCATATGCGTCGATATCGAAAAATCTAGGGAATAGCATAGTTTGCTTCCCTTCATCTATGCAACCCCTAATCAGACGAAATACAAGTGATTTGTTAAGAAAAAGATTGGTAAATCTTTAATTGCATGATTACCTTTCAACTTTGCAGTTCTTGTTGACTATTCCGTGTTGGCGTGCTCCTAGCAGAACCATCTCTCGTCCGTTTTCGTGGAAGGAGTAAAGGACTACAGCAAACTAATGTAAACAGTACCTCCGTCATAAACAATGTCATACTGACCCATACGAAAATAGTTCTCCTCCAAGACCATATGATTCTTTTGATAAATGGAAGTTCAGAGTCGAGAATGAGGAAAGCATCGTATAGTTCAGGAATACCGGCACCCGGTCTGAACTCCGCTCGTTGCTCAAGTACTACCTTTAAGCAAGCAGTAGGCACGGTTCCTTCGTTTAAACCTCTAATCTTCAGATTCAAATTCTGTGCTTCCCGAGTGTAGCCGGTTACTAGAGGAGCAACCTTAAAGAATGTCAGCAGAAGGCGGATAGGTACACTGATGTATTTCAACATGCATGGATGGCTTGAGGTGGCAAGAGTTTCACCATTAATAGACAGGAAATCTACTCTCACCTACAGAAAGTAAAACGGTGCAGTTCATCAATACCAATTTCTTCACTACTAAAAGCTATGGGTTCAATTACTGATACAGCTAAATGAAATACACTACTCAAGAAGAAGAAGCCACTCCCATCTTTCCTTGTTAACCAATTTCTATAGCCTGTTTCTAGACTCAGGTTTCAGCCGAATTAACATCAACCCCGGTCACTGTATAACCTTATTTAGTTCATATGGGATTGAAATGTTCACAATAAGGTCATGCGGCTTCTGTGCGATTGATTTATCACCGGAAAATCACCCAACTTATTCTAGAACTTTCTTAGGATATTAGGCTGACACTAACCTATCAAACATGCTAGTATAAGAAGCAGAATACTACAATATTCACTGAATCATGAGGTTAGCAATATCATCATTTCCTTCAACATACTGATTACAAATTTTTGCCCTGCTCAAGAGGTAAGAAACCTGTGGAAATAAATTCGCTCGATGATTACGATTAAAAGAAACTCCGAAATCCACAACAAGACAATTTACTAACTTCACATCTCATGTTCATTTAACATGTTATATAATGAATAGAATAAAAGGAACAGAATGTAAGCATATAAAACTTACCAAACTTGAACTACAAGCAGAACCATGAATTCGGTTTCTAGATATAAAATGTAAACCATGAATGAAGTAAAAGGTGGAAATAACAGCAACCTCTGCATTCCATAAATCAAACAAATACCTGGAACATCCCAAGATTTTTATTGTACTCTGACTCTGGCAATGTCAAAGAAACAGTAACCTTCAATTTGTGATCCAGCGGTATAGCTCGAGGACGCACATTCTTTCCGACATCTATCTTCTCCATACATTTCGCACCGCAACCGGCAGCGGCACAAGATACAATCGGAACAAATGCAACCGGACTAGTCTGAGTATAATCAAAGTTCAACATTTCCTTCATCTCCAATGGTTCCTCCACCAAATACCTCATCAGAACCCCAGTAGTAGCAAGTGAAGTAAACATTAACCCAAATAAAACGCAGCCAACATATGAAGCCCAGAACAATCCCCAGCAGAAACGAAACACGAGGTTCCATATTGATTTATGATAGTTTATGCAATCATTCATCATAGGACTAAAATAATCACAAATCGAATCCCGTAAATGTAACAACTTTGCAATTATATAAGCTCTACCATGGCTGAAAGCTTGAAAAGGATCAATAATAAACATGTAGCCGTAACTTAAAACTGATATAGGCAATGTAACGGAGCTAATCAACAAATTTAACTGGAACCCGAATGCCTTGATCACAAAACCAGCTATAAACAGCAGCAACCTGGAATTAGAATTTAGTGACTCACTGGGTTCAGCGATCGAGTCGGCGGAGTTATTACGAGCTTGGTCCACTGGTTCATCATTTTCAGCAACGGTGACCGTTGACTCCACGACGTTGTTCTCTTCAGAGACGCCGATCGAGCTAACTCCATCCCGAGGCGACTCGGTTACCGAAAAAGTGCTTTCGTTTGGCTTCAAATCACGGAAAAGATTGTATCGTGGGTCTCTAGAATTGGTTCTGGAGTGATCTTCGAGATTGGAAGCTTCTGGAAGGCATTCAACGGGTTCCTTGCCGGTAGTTCCCCGGCGAGAGAAGGTTCGCCGGAGGAGAGTTGAAGGTAAGTGAGACGTGGAAGGCTCTGATTGCTCGCAGGTAAAGCAATCGTAAAATTGGAAGTCATCGAATGCGTCGAAGAACTGATCCTCTTCGTCGGAACTTTGGGATTCCATCGGGAAAAAATTGGCGACGAAATGACGGTTTGATTCTTTTCCTCTTTTAGCAAATTACCAATTCTTCTAATAAAAAATTCACATCACGCCTAGAAGAAGCAAATAACTGGAATTTCGTGTATTATATGTTTACTCAAAAAAAAAAATCTTTTCCCCGGTAAAAGTACACAAGTGATCCTCAACTATAGGATATTACTTTATTAAGTACCTTGAATATGAAAAGTTATAAAAAAGTCCTATGACTATAGAATGTTACTTTATTAAATCTTTTGACTATTAAAAGTTATAATATGGTCACTCAGATATTCATTATGTTCCAAACTTGTCCCTTTTCAATTAAAATATTAACTATTGTCTAAGTTGGGCGTTAACATGATGATTGAGATACGATAATCGTTTGAGATTGTAAGATCAAATGTTATCGTTCAGCTCAGAACACCGTTATTTTTTTTAATAGTCGAGTGACCATTTTGTAACTTTTAATAGTCGATGAACTTAACAAAGTAACACTCTATAGTTGAAGGATTATTTTATAACTTTTAATAATCGAGGGACTTAATAAAGTATTAGCCTATAGTCGGGGGACTGTTTGTGTCTTAACCCTTTCTTTATTAACGGTTTAGCATACTTTACTTGTGAATAGTTGATTAGTTTGTTAGGTGGGCCGCTAAGCTTTTATTAAAAAATGGGGCCATACAATTAAAACGGGCTAGGTAACCATCCTTAATCTAATCTGCATCGATGACGTCATTTTCACAGTGCCAACGATTTTCAGCACATGATGATTTATTCATCGTACACACATTGAATTGTTTATTTCTCTAAAGAGGTGGGTAGTGAATTAGCCAAGTGGATTAAAATATTTATCCAAACAATGTGTAGAAAATGTCTCGATCATCCTCGTGCTCGTCTTTCTGTTTATCCATTAAACAGGTCATGGGATCTTATCCGACAAATTTCCATTCTGGTTTTCAACGAAATGCCTAACCTAAAACAAGGTAGGATATTCCTTTGTTTATATAATGACATCCCCACACTCTTTTACCTCCACTTGTTGATTAAGACTTTCAAATGTATGTTCGCTTCATGATTTTTCAAATTGATTGGAACAAGACAACGGTCCCCGTTGTTTACCCTTTCCGCAAAAGTAATCTTTTAGTTGGTCACACAATGGTAAAAATACTCTACAGGTCCTTTCCCTTTAATGGAAATTATAATCTAATTCCTCATTAGAAAATCGTGTAAAATTATCATTCTAAAACTCTTAATTTTGATCAAGACTTTAATCAAAATTCAAAATCTTACTCATCTAAGAAAACAAAGTAGTAAAATCTCTATTGATTTCCTAGTTCTGTTTCTGTTATAATCGATGGAAACCAAAGCGGCGGTGAGGTTTATGTTACGGAAGCAATCGTCTTTGGCGCCGGAGGGAGACAGTTTCGAATCGGATGGAAGAGAGGAAGGAGACGATATAGAAGACGGAGTTAGGCTGATGTACTTGGCCAACGAAGGTGACTTGGACGGCATCCGGCAGCTCTTAGACTCCGGGATCAACGTTAATTTCTGCGACATCGATGATCGGACGGCTCTACATGTCGCCTCCTGCCAAGGACAGACCGATGTCGTTTCTTTGCTCATTCAATATGGCGCCACCGTCGATTCTAAAGATCGCTGGGGAAGCACTGTAAACAAAAGCAAAAAACCAGAGCCATCTTCTCCTGCTTCGCCTCCTTTTCTTTTTCTTTTTATTCTAATACATGTTTATTTTGGTGTAATAGCCATTGGAGGATGCTATATATTATAAGAATCACCAAGTGATTAAGCATTTGGAGAAGCATGGAGCTAATCCTTTGGTGAGTTTTGCATCATTCATCTGAAAAAAATTTCCCCATTCTGCTGATTTTTTATTGACATTGATTGTTGAATTTTGCTATTAGATGGCTCCAATGCATGTAAAACACGCTCGTGAAATACCGGAGTACGAAATAGACCCAAAAGAACTTGATTTTACTAACAGCGTCTACATTACTAAGGTAATCTCTTCTTCTTTTTTTACTTTTTTTTCTTTGGATAAGGTAATCTCTTTTTTTAGAATGTGTAATTGTTCATAATTTTAACAATTTAAATCATAATGATCTTTAGAAATAGTTTTTAAGAAATTGAGGAAGTTTTTCCGACTAACAAATATGTACCACATGACATTGATAAGGAGGAAACTATTACATTATAGTTGTTTCTCTAGCATAATGCCTATCGAAGTTTGATAGAATGTTCGGTATTTTTGAAATAGTTGCTCAATTATTGCATTGTGAGTTTTTTGTTCTTTCTAGTTGTGGTGGTTAGTTTGAGCATTCGATGGGGAATTTCTAGATGGCTCTCAGAAGATCCTCTTTTTTTGGGTTTCTTAGAGCAAAGTTTTGTTATCTATGCAATGCAGGTTTGAAATTTGGTATGGGACACATAGGGGTGAATAGACAAGTTATGTGCAAAGTGCCTACTAAACACTTATGGTGCGTTTGGTTCATGGAATGTAAGATTACCAGTGAGAATAAAAGATTACCAGGGAATAGGATTACTGGGAATGTTGTATTTTGTGTTTGGTTGGTTTAGCAGGAATGTAAGATTATCGTGTTTGGTTAAAGGAATAAAAGATTATTGGAATGTATATTTGACCAATTTGTCCTTATTATATATTTGTATAATATTACAAATTGTAAAATATTTATATATTTTCTTTAAAAAATTAAATTCATAATATTTATGTAATTTTTTTTACAAAATTAAAAATATAAAAAAGGTTTAATAAAATGGTAAAAAAAAAATTTAATCCCTGAACTTCATATAAAATTTTAATTATAGACTTTTTTTTTGTAAATCTAAAATAATTTAAGGATAAATTTATAATTTAACCTTCGTAGAATTTTTATTATTCAATGACAGAAGAATGATATTTTTGAAGAAAAAAAAAATTTAAGGGCATTTTAGTCCAAAACGCCGGTAATATTACAATACCTAAGGGAAGGGAGGTAATGACATTCCCGGTAATATACCCCATAAAATCTACTAAATAAAACATTATCGGGAATGAGATTCCCAAACATGGGAATCCCACAATCCTTGAACCAAACACCCCTTAGGTATTTTCGTCCCTTGGTGTTGCAGTTGCATTCGTAGGAAATATTGAACTCATAATCTGACGAGCATGTGCTTTTACATCTTTAATTTTTTTCTTAGCCCGCTCCTGTCTGTGATTAAATTGCAGGGAACCTTTTGTATAGCCTCATGGCGTGGAACACAAGTAGCTGTGAAAAAGCTTGGGGATGAAGTTATCGCTGACGAGACTAAAGTGTAAGTTGCTCATAAAGTGAACCTTTTTCTTCACTCTTATTGTTTGGGGGTTCTGTGGGTTGTGACATTAGGTGAGAGAACCAATGGACCGTGTTGGGTTCTTTATGTTATTTGTTTTTCTTTTCTTCTTTCAGGGGTGCATTTAGAGACGAACTTGCATTATTTCAGAAAATTCGACATCCAAATGTAGTCCAATTTCTTGGTGCAATAACTCAAAGTAGTCCAATGATGATTGTGACGGAGTATCTACCCAAGGTATTACTCTAGCATCTAATTTACCGTCATAGTATATATATGGTCTATACATGCCTTTACTTATGTCCGGTTTTATAGCTTGCTGAGTTGATTTCAACTTGTGTTCTTTTGTTGTGTATGAGCACCAGATAATTCATTGATACGAAATTTCTTACCAGATCTTAGTTTCCTCTTATTTTTCAGTGATTCTAGATAACTGGATTTTGTAATATAGCTCCAACCTTATCTGCTTCTTTAAGAGTTAGGTTTTCAAACTTCAATTCATTGTTTATTTTGCAGGGAGATTTACGAGCTTATTTGAAAGGAAAATGAGCATTGCAACCAATAATAGCTCTGCGGCTTGCACTAGATATTGCAAGGTTTGTTACGGGATTATTGTAGTTTGGACTTTATAAACTATTGCTTTAATAAGCCCTATTGAACGATGGTTGTTTTCTTTTTCATAAATGGGCAGTTTGATTTCAACTTTGATTTGAGAGTAACAAATTTAAATGAGTAGGTACTCTATTACATGGTCTCTATCTTTTCAGGAATATCTTTAGGCAAATCTAAAATCCGAAATTATGATAGCTTACTGTAGAGAGAAAACTAGTGGTGACACATAAAACTTGAGTCTTCACTTGTTTACTTTAGATGAATGAAGTTGGTAATTTAAGTTTTAATTGTTAGGTAGCTTCCAATGGTAGAACTTGAAAGGTCTTTAACATATTTTCCACTATCTTGCAGGGGAATGAATTATTTGCATGAGAACAAACCACCAATAATTCATCGTGATCTCGAGCCTTCGTAAGCTTTCTTGTAGACATTGGTTTTATTCTCCTAACAAATTTATGTACAAACCATTGAAAGTTAATATTGCACCGAAAGGTGCATTAAATGGTGCTTTCGGTAGATCACCGAAAATGTGGGGAAAAAAGAGGGAAGCAACAATTGTGGAAAAAGGTGGATGGTAAAATACCTAATTTAGTCACTTTATTTTTAGGATATTTACAAGACTAGTCCTTAAGCTTCAACTATAAATACCCTAGCTCATTTAGCTTCAAAATCATCCCAAATAATTCTAGCTTTCTCCCAATACTAGAGAATATAGAGAGTTTCTTGAGAGTTGTTTTCTCCTTTTTTATCAAGAGAAAATTATCATTGTTTTCTCCTTGGTAGATCGAGAGAAGTTGTAAATCATATTTTCTCATAGTGAAATTCTTCTACCGTTACCCGTGGTTTTTACCCTATATTATTTAGGGGTTTTCCACGTACATTTTGTGTATTTTTTATCTTCATTTTTATTTTCTCAAATTATCAATTGCGATTTTTCTCTATCTGATAGCCGTCTTCTGCAACAATTGGTATCCGAGCCAGATTTGAGTGTGTAATATTTGCTTATTGTCTTTGTGGTTGTCATCAAAAGGCAGATCCTCCAACTTAAGAAAGTAAGAAGGTATTACTCATTCTTTGAAGGTTCCAGATAACTATTC